CACGGTTAGTGATCACACTAGATGCATACTGTGCCTAAGACCAACTGAACCATTCCCAAGCACATCTCTTCAAGCAGGCCCGGTATGGAGTGATCACCCTAGTCAGAAGAACTGGACTTTGGGGGTCAAATGTGCTCAGGCACGGTATAGATCCCATAGTGTAAGAACATCCTAAGACACGGGTTTTGCTGCACATAAGGTATAAAGTTTGAAACATACTTTTTACAAATTTATACATGTACATCTGTAATGCTATATAAAGGTAATATTAGCAGGGTCTAATCACTGTAGTATCATTGTTGTGGATGTGGGAATTAAAGAAACAAAATGCAGAAGAAACAACAAGAGAAATACAATAAAATTTATTACAATACAAAGAAAAAAGTCAACGGCCATTATAAATGGAAACTGTAATCCTAATGAAAACTGTAAAGCCAATTCAAGGGAAGAGAATCAAAGGCAGGTGTAATATGATCTTGGCTTTCTTAACTCAGCTGCAGATTAGAGATAGAGTTCTTAGGAAGAGCAAGTAAAAGAGCATTGCTGTCATCCAGATTAGATGAGATAAAACCATTAACAGGATTCTCTGTCAGCAGTGAAGAGAATGAGACAGACCTCAGAGACATTGCAACTCATTCTCAACTCCTCACATCTTGAAGCTTGAGCAGAAGCCTTTAGCATAGTATCTACAACTGTAGATTGAGTCTGCAGAGATTGATCTACTAATGTTTCATTCAGTGTTATTCTGGGTTTTTTCCCGGCATATTCATTTCTTACGATTTAACAAAAAGCTGAAACTATCCTAGAAAGATTATAACACATTTTTATTGAACATGAACTTATCTTTTCTCCTGATAAGTAACATGAGTAATGGTTAAACTGTGAAGGCTTGTAGATTTTACTTGCCATTAAAAAAAATTTTCATACTTTTTACGGTCATTTCCTGCAAATGACAACTACAGAACTAGCTGAGTGAAGCAAAATTTGCATTCATGTAAATATTACTAATAGATCCCTCTGAGCAAAGAGATTAAATACATCAACAGGAACCATTAAAAGATCAATAGTGGAGCTGTGAGGGATACTGATTCACTCCCTTAAATTGCACAGATTTTTAAAACAAGTGCATTTATGTTAACAATAGATTATTTATATATTTATTGTTTTTTTGTTGTCATATTTATTAACTACTACCACAGTTCTGAGAGTAACAGAATTTGAAGTTTATAGTATAAACTAAGTGTTATTTTCAAGTATGATTTGTAGTAAGTATTATTTGCTTGCCTAAAAGAAACCGAACATCTGTAACTGTTGTAAATAATGATTCAGTTTTTTTTCTTGCTTTTTTTTAAATTATATCACTCTACAATCAACTCTCTGGGCTGCTCAAATATTGTGTGCATGCATGTGAGCCTTGAATTAGTGTGAACAGGTCATACCTTGGTTTTTTTAGTATAACCCACTGAGCTTGGAGTGATCTGTTTGGGTATATTAAGCAAGGCTGTTTCAAAGTGAGTGCTTTATTCTTTAATAGTGTAGCTTTAGAAGACAACTGTATGCAGTTTGGCAGCAATGTTGACTGCTCCAAGCTGGGGGTGCCGTTGACATACCTGGCTGAACCCAATGTGGCATAAATTATATGATCCAGATGAGGAGCAAAAAAAATTTAAATAAAAAAAGTGGAGTGAGCATGAGTGAGATCTGAACCAACTCATGAGGAGGTGAGATCTAACATTGCAGTGCCCTATTTGTGCACAACATTTGTTGTGCTTCAATTTCAAAAAGACAAAGAAAGCTACCTGCTAAAGTTGAGGGACTATAGGACTTCGGACAACTGTTCTGTAGGTTCCCCTTTTGAGTCTGGGTTCCTTTCAAGGTTTCTTCCTGTTGCTTTTAGGCAGTTTTTCCTTGCCACTGTTTGTTGCCATTGGTGACGCTCATAGGGGCTGTAAAGTTGCTTTCTGACAACACCGGTTGTAAAAAGAGCTATATAAATAAACTTTGCTTGCTTGCTGATTATTTCAAATTGGACACTTAAAGGCCGGAAAAACCCACTAATGCCAAGAAAAGAGCAGATTCCTTGACCGATACAGATGACCTCTCCACAACTTAGGTTGAGGTGAGCTTACTTCAGTCTATCAAAATGAACTTGTGTTATTGGAAACATTGCACAAAGAGATAGAAGATTTGTGGAAAAGCCTTGAGAACAGCCAAGCCGATTCTATCAGAAATGAAAACATAATACTTCACTGTTCAAATGGCAGCTGCTCAAATGGACATTATTGTTTAAAAAAAAAAAGACTCAAAGACTCTGCTCTCAACATTCAGTGTTGTTAAAGTATGAGACACAATGTAATGTTTACTGGTATTGATGTGGATTGTACCAACGATCCAGAAGAATAAAAAAAAAATCAAACACTTCACGTGATCAGCACTGAAACTATTCCTAAAACTGTCAACTCAATCACATTTCACCATGTGTACAGATTAGGAATGGGAAGCAACATCAAGACCAATAATAGCTAAATTTGAACATTTCAAACAGAAGGAGCTGGTTAAAAGCATAAAGAATTTCATGGAACCAAAAATGGAATGAATGATTGGAGGAAAAAATTACTCCTAGTAATGAAAAAAAAATTGAGGTGATGGACAACGCGCACACATCATTATTGACAAGCTTTATATTTACAACTTTTTCATGACTCAAAGATTACCCCATGGCTTTTGTAATCTCATTAATGCTCCAAATCAATCTTTAGGAATGCAGAGGAACAGTCTTCAACTGCTGCAATTTGTAGAAAAGGATCACTAATATGTTTCGCAGCTTATTGGCAAACTACTTTTTTGGCTACTACTGTCTAACATTTATCATTTGATTTTACAGGCATCTTTGATTTCTTGCATCTGAAAAGAATGGATTCAGTGGGGCAGGGAATGGTAGGACAGGAACTCCACAGATATCCAATGTACGTAGATATGCGACAGAGTACCTGACATACAATAAAAAGTGTCTGATCAGATCTACTTAAAAAAAATGACTTCATGTGGTAACAAGTAAATTAACTAGTTTTATTCAACCTAAATAAATACTTTGAATGAATGTTTCTTTTAATCAGTGTATTTTTTTTTTAGTTGAATAAAACTAGTTCAATTGCTTGTTACCACATGAAGTCATTCTTTTACAGTGTAGCCGCCTATGAATTTGTAACTTGAAATATCTGTGGAACAAGCAAAAGGACTTAATATTTAATCATATGATCAAATTAATAGCTGACATTTGCTTCTTACAAGAAACTCAGCCAAAATTCAACATTTAATCACTCAATTCAGCTGGATATTCTCAGCAGTTTACAGTTCCAAACAAAGAGGGGTATCAATTCTAATAAAAAAAGTACATAAATTATTCATTGCACCATGATAGCAGACCCAGAAATAAGATATGGTATTATCAATGGCTGTATTAATAAAAACAGTTACACAATAGCAAGTAGTTATGGTCCAAATATTGATGATCCATCTTTTTTCATATATCTTTCTCACAATTTAATATTTTCACAAACATCATAATTGTTGGGGACTCTTACTAATTACTTAGTAATTGTATACAGTAACATATCTTACATTGGACAGATCAAGTATTCTTGATAATCTTGGGAAGTGGCATTCTATACAAGTATTAAAACCGTAGCGAGCACTGTTGGTCTTAATGATATTTGGGGATCAAAAAATCCCTCAGCAGGAGAATATTTATATTTTTCAGCCCCATGTCAAACATGTATAGACCTCCATGACTAGACCTACAGTCCTTGTAACAAATTCAGTCATATCCCATATTTTTAACAAAAGAATTCATTCGACTGTAACTGTAATAATATGAAAACAAAATCAAAGTTTTAAACGACAATTTAAAGATAGATGGAAATAAGGAAACTGCAACACCAATTTAAATGATAAAACCATTATCAAGCCGTTTATGATATAAAGACATAGTAATTTTGGAAAATTTAAGGAAATATTTAACATTCATCCCAGCCAACAAGAACAACAGATTCAATTAATAAAATAAATACTAATTTTCAAACACACACACACACACACATATCTTCTAAGCCGCTTATGGGTCGTGGGAGGTGCTGGAGCCTATCCCCGCTGTCATCGGGCGGAAGGCAGGATACATCCTGGAGAGACTACCAGTCCATCGCAGGGCATACTTTTCAAATACTCTATGAAAAATAATAAACTCAGCATTTTTAACAAACTATCTCACCTTAGCTTTTCAAAATGATGTCAGAAATCCAAGAAAATGCTATAATACCACAAAAAAGTAAATTGAGTTCCACAGTTTAGAAGCAAAATTAATGAAAGCGTCTTCTATATTTGATGGACGGTTTTTGCAGAAGGTCAGTATACAGTTGATCTAAGATCATGAGTTGGACCATAAACAGACAGACAGTCTGTGAGGTATGCAGGTGTCTAAGGCCATTTAAACCATTAAAACCAATACCAAAACTCCTAAAAGATACAGACAGTAAGTGCATTGTCTAAATGGGGGTGATATGCTCTGGATGTAGTGTTTTCTAAAATAATGTTAAGCTTTTCTTATAAAGATATTCAACTAAGCCTGAGATGAGATTAAATGAGATGAGACAAACACAAAAGAGTTAAATAAGTGAGAAAATAATCAAAGTGAGAGAATCTGCAATGATAAATGAGTTGAATCGAAACAGGAGAACATTGCTCACAGTAATTTTAAACTGGACTCTATCCATGTCTAGGAAAAGAAAATAAGGTTAAAGTTAGATCTTATTTATCTATTTTTTCTTCCCTCTAGTTCCACCTGTTTAGCCAGGTAGGTCAAGAGAATGCAGTGATTTGTCAGCACATCATGCCACATTCTTCAGTGTGTAAAAACAATTCCAGCTTATTATTCTGTGGTCACATGGAAACCAGATGGGTTAAAAAGTGAGGATGACACATTGAGCAGCGTCCATTTCTGAAGACAGGATCATAGACAACCTTTTTAGAAGATGTCTTCTTCTTCAGCTCACACCACTCCTGTCCAGACCAGCATCCCAGCTCAGACAGAAGGAAACGTACACAAAAGTAAGTATGCAAGAAACACGCTGCATGTGAATGAATATATCTTTATCTCGATCAAGTTATATAGAAGTCATATATTCTGCAAGGATTGCTACAAGTTATTTATTTGCTTATTTAATTTCTGAGATTGTGTATCCAAATTTAATTTGCTGATTACTATACATGAAAAGGCATAAGCACTACAGCGATTACAGTTTATTGTCTGTGTATCTTCTTCTCTTGATGGGGTTGTGGGTTCTTTATTCCTCACTGTTTCAATAGAAGCTTGTGAAGGAACTTCAGTGCAAAGAAAGTACTTTGTGACACTTCTATCATTTGTTGTTGTTGTTGTTTTGTTTTTGTATTTGTAAAGAGTACTTAAAAAATTCTGTTTAAAAAAGCTCACAAGTCCAAGCACCGTTTTCAGTGCATACAAATGTAGTGTCATTATGCTGGTTATAGTGAACTGTGCTGCCTGAAACTGCATAAAACAAAAGAAACAGACGATTAAAACAAGATAAGACGCTCTGGGTTTGTCTTAAAGTTAACAACTTATTTAGGATATTTTGGTGACTTAGGATGTTTCTGTAAAACCGTTTTCTTATCTGGAAATAAGATTATAGACTTAAGCTCTGTTGCTCTGTAATGGCTTCTGTCCTAACTTCAGTCATAACTGAAGTTGCCATGACAACGCAGCAGATATGATCTCAGACTTAAGGATTTTCTATAATATGGCCCCAAAAGAATGCAACAGAACATATACAACAAAATATTGACCTAAATAAAATACTAAATACTGCCATACATAACCAACATAGACACTAATGTTGGAGTTTCAGGTAGTAAATTGTTGCTTGCTCTTTCCTTTTTTGATGGATACAAATAAATAAAAAAGTGGATACATTTATCTTTGAAAAAATAAACAAGATATACATTGTATTTGGGGGTGTCTTTTTTTCACTGATGCTATATTGGTGGGAGGGGTCAAGCCATCTGGAAGAGGTGGAGCAACTCTGGTGAGAAGTCAACCAGACTGTAAACAATGATAAGTAGCAAAGTTGAAGCTAGTGGGAAATGGCTATTGCTGAGCTGATGCAGGGAGAAAAGTTAGGGGTGCTGGCTGCTGAGTTGCATGGGATTTTTTCAGCTCTGCTTTCGCCCAGTAGTGGCAGAGTAAGCTGTTGCTCAGAGAATTGAGGTGATCCTGTGTGATCCCACCCCTCGAGGCTTACTGTTGCCCTGTCATGCCAAGGAGTACTGTGGTGGTAATGGGTCATGGGTTGAGTTTGACTTTGGTTAATCTGTCTGCATTGCCACAAGAGGGGCTGAAAAGCAGACCTTCCATGAAGGGTTTTGTTGTGGGACTGTTGTTGGGTTGCCGAAGTGTCTCAATTGCATATCCTTAGAGCCCTTGCAAAAGCCCCAATTATAGTGCAAAAACAGAGTTGGCCATATTTGGTACTTAAACATTGTGCTGTATGTACGTGAGCTGGCAGGTGAGTTTAGTTTGTGATATGCATTGTGCTGTTTTGTTTAAACATGCTTCCTGGTACCACCTCTTCTTCAGCAGTGCTGCTATACTTTTGGCTCCATAGCTTGACTTTTTCAGATTTTGGTACAGTTCCATGCATGTCATTAAACTGCAATGCCTAATGTGGCTTTGGGATGTTTTGATGTTTGTAAATTGAACTTTACTGTCCTGTTGCTATCAGATAAAGGGTTTGGTGTCTTGCCAGTTTTCACATTCTTATAATCTGGGTTTCTTAATGAGGTCAAAGTTGTAGACATTGTTCTGGTGATGTCATCACCTATTGAGCATACATGGGTACCTATTCAGATACATAAAATGTCAGGTTGTCCTAAATTTCATAATTTCTCCTATTTATGTTGCCAAACTCAGAGGAGGAGTTGGATGTGTTCTACATAAACATGAATGTCCTGCGTACATATGAACAACCAGAGAAATGTCTTCTGGAGTTGCTACCAAGAGCTGAAACATTCAGAAAAGTTGTGTGAGTATTTTATGTTTTAAGTGAGTAATTTAATTGGCTCAAACTCACACTGAAATTTTAACAAATAACAAGTAAACTTTACGTAATGCAAGAAAACAAAAAACCCAAATTTACACAATGTAAAGGGCAACAGGCATTTTCACATTGTCACAAACTGCAAAACGTCAACATGGAGATACACACACACATATATATATATATATATATATATGTGTGTGTGTGTGTGTGTGTGTGTGTGTGTGTGTGCAATACAATTTACAGTAAACAACATAAAGCAGACAAACAAAAAAAAAAAACAGTTAATACGCTTATCTGTCCATTTGGTATATAAGTTTAGCCCATGGAAGTTCATCATTTTTACATTGAAAAAAAGAACAATGCATTCAGTTTACCTTTAAAATGACAATGAACTTAAAAAAGGGAATAACTGTGTCTGTGTGTTTCAGTTGTCAGTGTTTTGATATATCATCATTTCTCCTCTAGACTGTGTGAGTGTAGTCTCTCAGAGGAAAGCTGTGCAGCTCTGGCTTCAGCTCTAAGAAACTCTTCAGCAGTCAGAGAGCTGGACCTGAGTAAGACTGAACTGCAGGATTCAGGAGAGGAGCTGCTCTCTGCTGCATTGGAAAATCCTCATGGTAAACTGGAGAAACTGAGGTGAGTTTTCAACTAAATCAAATTACACAATAACAAATCTCTTAGGATTAGGATGATCTAAGAGATGTCAGCTTTTCTAGAAATACAGTCTTGTTTGTGAGTGAGTTTGTGTGCGTGTGAGTTTCTGAAGTGGCCTAGAAAGTCAGTCATGGATTAGGATCAGGAGTCTATAAAGGTCCAAAAGAGAATCTCTTGCTGCATTCAGACACTTTTGCTTTTGTGTTACGGCTCCTGTCCTCCTTCTTCCTCACTACCACTTCTCTCCTACCACAGAAGAATGTGGAGGAGTGAAGGGGAGGACAGAAGAGAATAAAGCAGAAAAAAATGAGACAATGAGCAGTAAAGTAGGACAGCTGGTCCACTTCAACATCATGAAATTTTATGTTGATTATTGATGAACTAAATCATAATGTTTTCTTGAAAGCACACCCCTAATACTTCTGGTAGAAGTATAAAATACTAGGAATGGCCAATGGAAGAACAATTTACAGCCTTTGAATGCTTGTTGGTGTATCCAAACACATACACACATGCTTGTTCTTAATACTACCTTTAAAACATTAATATTTACATTTCATTATTAACCATAATTGTAAATATGAAAGATGCTGGTAGACTATTCAAATGTGTCATAACAAAATGACACATACCTAGGCAAATGTGTCTGTTCCTTAAAATTATTTTTGCAGCCATGGTACAGAAGTAAGTTCAAGATGTATATCTTTTAAAATCTGTCTTTAAAAAGGTATTTTCAAAGTCAAGTTTGTTGGTATATTGAATGAATAGTAAAGTTCATTTTCAATCTCTGACTTGAAATAAGTGACAGGCAAGCATAAATCTTGTTTAGGATTGATGACTCAGTGAATTATTTCTATCTCTCATTGTCTCCATCTCTCAGCTCCATGATTAAGGACACTTGATTGTCATTCAGAAGTTCAAATTATAGCCAAAGAAATTAATGAGTATTTGGCAGTTTCTTTTGTTTAAACTTTTTTTTGCCATATCTTTTACTAACTCTTCACTTTCACTGAAGAGGTGATGGTTGCAAAATCATGGTTATGTTCATGTTTTAGTTAAAGTTACTTAAATATAGCATGATTTTTTGTAGCCTAATATCTTGTTTATCATTAAATAATTACTGTTCTCTCTTAGTTTGGTGATAAAACATGTTAGCATGTTAATAAATAGGTGTTTATTAATGTAATAATATTTAGAAATAAATAATGTTCAAATCCATGACAGGTTCTTGTAGGAAAGTAAGTCAAAACTCTTTGAATAAGGACTAAGGATCGATAAAATAAAATTCGAGTCACTGCTTTCACTTATAGCCCAGGTTAAATTTTATGTTTAGGTAATAAACAGGTACTTTTCACACTAATATCTTCAAGTGCCTTTGCATTGCATTTTTATCCCATAGTAACTACCTGCTACTTAGAGAATTTTTCAAATTACTTTTTGCTGAAACATGTGACATTATTTAGTATGAATTTGTTTGTATTTACAAGCTGGTTACTACAATGGAACACATAAGAACACAAAGAAAAGCAGGTTGTTTATCTCCAGTACTGATGGGCCCTCCTGATGTACTCCAGGTTGCATTAATCAGTGAACACAATGAAAGGGTGGAGGCTACCTTTAGCCTGGCTGCCAGTCCTTCAGGGTCAGCTTTAGATCAGTAAGCTCATAGTTTTCTGTCATAGTTCCTTTCTGCCAGTGTCACCTTGCAGCTGTGAAAGCATTACCTTAACTCCCACCTTGAATGCATCCACCTTAACCACAAATGAAAGTACAAGGGAGTTTTGACATCCTCTCTACTCAAGCAGGGCATAGACCAACTAGCTTCAGTGTTCAATTACATTTAATCAGCCTGTACACTGTTCCTACTTGCTATCTATAGGCCAGTGACCTTAACATCAAGATCTTGGAGTGACTTGTTCCTTGTCCATTCTTTTTTCTCTGGAGAACACTTTTACACAGTAAAAGTGTGTGTGGGGGTTATATGTATGAGTACATATACATCTTGCTTTTTCTCCTAGGCTGTTTGAGTGTAATCTCACATGGAAAAGCTGTGAAGTTCTGGCATTAGTTCTCAGTTCAACTTCCACAAAACTAAGAGAGCTGGACCTTAGTAAGAATAAACTGCAGGATTTAGAAGTAAATATGCTCTCTATTGGACTGCAGAATCCACATTGTCAACTTGAGATACTGAGGTGAGATCTCTTGTTTGTTATCCTTCTGAGTTGAACATTTACAGAGTCATTAAATAACTACATTTACATGCACACTGCTTATCCAGTATTAGTTAAGATTGCTGGTCTCACTAAGATACTTTATGATGATGTACACAGCTCAGTTCTATTGTAAAAGCCCAACTAGAGTCTCATTGGAACTAAGATTAATATGATTAAAATGTGTTCCAGGCTTTATAAGCGATTTATTCCAGTGTGCATAATGTGAGTTAGTCATGGCCTTGATGAATTGATGCCTCTTCAATCTTGACTTCAGTTTCATATATACAGTAGCCAGAGGAGGGGAAAACCATGGACAAGTGACAGACTCATGGGTGCCCAAGGCACATTGATGCATGAGGCAACAAAGGCTATCCTGTCTGATCCTATCCAACAAATCACATTGAGAAGGTCTCCAAATTCCCCAGATCTCAGTCTGGTCATGTCTTAAATCAAAAACTTAAGTAGAAATTTTCTTAATTTTATGCAAATAAACTATTAGGCAAAAATGCAAAACAAATGTTTTGAGTCAAATGAATTCCTTGGACCAATCATAGACAGAGGGGCCCTTCTGTTCCAGCATTTTGTTCCTGTCCCCAATAGTATAACTTAAAATATGAAGGAGAAAGTTATAAACTTGTAAACTTGTAACAGCAGTTCATATCTTAAACAAAACTGCAAAATCTATATAGTTCACGTTTTTATATTTTCTCATTAGAAGCTGTGTACACACCCACATGTGACAACAACAGCAGCCTCGAACACACCCACAGACAGAAAAGTAATTTTGGAGCAATTCTATTGGTCCATTCATTATTAAATTATAAAACTATAGGAAAGCAAAATACAGCAAAAATGTCAATTGAATATTTTGACAGCAGCAATATCACTGCTGTTGGAACAAAATCTCCAAAGCTGTAAATTTACTGGCAAAACATGTTTAACTTTGGATGGAAGTTAAATATTTTCAAGTAACTTTGGAGCTTTTCTATTGGTCCAGTCATCATGAAATTTTAGCATGTTGTAAAGGGCAGTATTTCTAAATTCTGTAAAAAAAAGTTCAAAATGACAAAAACTGAGATAAAAGATTTGGTTTCAACAGCAGCAAAGTGGTACTGTTTAAACTATTAAGCAATAACTTGTGTGACTTACCAAAAAGATATTTTAAATTGTAGAAATTTAGTCAGTAAATATAACTGTAATATTAATTATTACAAATAATTAATCACAGTAATTAATTTGTTAACAATTTACTTATTTGATACTCTTGAAATATTAATTATGAATGAACTAATTTCTTTTTAAAAAATCAGAAGCTGTATGAATAACTATTTGCCTACATCCTGTTTTTAAATGATTACTAATTATTTTTATTCTTGTTACTTTGTGATTAATAAAGCTTTTCTTAATGGTTGATAATTTAGTGGTTAAACACACAGTAATTACTTCATTAAGTATGCTTTCTTGTATCTACAATCATTGTCCATTTTATTAGCTGTACTTACCATACAGGTGCACTTTGTACTTCTACAATTACAAATTGTAGTCCATCTGTTTCTCTGCATACTTTGTTAGCCCACTTTCACCCTGTTCCTCAATGGTCAGGACAGTAGGCATTATTTAGGTGGTGGATCATTCTTAGCACTTGTGTTGTATTGTCTGTGCAAACAAACCAGTGACTCTGGCAGAAATCACATCTACATTAACTGCAAGGGGCCCCACATACATATCCTGTAGGTCAGTGCTTCGTTCTTTAGCTTCCATGGGATATAGGAGCAGAAGACCCACCAGAGTGCCTCTGTTAACACAACAACACTGGACACAGCGCCTCACCTGGGCTCGTGAGGTTGATAACTGGACCCTAGAGGACTGGTAACATGTGGCGTGATCCACTGAGTCAGGGTACCAATTGTTTGGGCAATGGTAGGGTTTTGACACAGACCCCATGAAGCCATGTCAAAAAAGCAATGGGCAGGCTGGTGGTGGTTCCATACTGGTGTGGGGTGTGTTCTAATGGAATGAGTTGGGTCTATTGGTCCGCCTGAACTCACTGACTGTTTCACTGCTTGGTGACCATTTGCAACCCTTCATGGACTTCATGTACCCCCACAATGAAAGGGCCCAAGTTGTCCAGAATCAGTTTCGAGGAGCATTCTGGAGAGATCGGACGAATGATGTGTATATATGTATATATATATATATATATATATATATATATATATATATATATTATTCTCAGTGTTGTATTTACACTGTAAAAATGGATTGTCTGTTCAGCCAAAAACAAATTGTTTCATGTGATAAGCATGTTAAGTGGTTTTACTCAATTAAAAAAAAATAATGTAAAACCATGATGTGTCCTGTCAGGCTTGTAGGTGATTGCAGGAAATTCCTGCATGGTAAATTTATCTGCATGGTAAATTTATCATGAAGAAGGATTTTCACTTTGTTGCTAAGGCAGACTGTGCTGGCATGAATATAAACAGTACTATAAATGGATTAATCTTTTATACAGCTAATATATCTTAGTTTGTTACAGTTTTTTAGACTAAGTAAGAACTTGGGCTTTTGTTTACATATAAACATGGGTACTGTCAGTCTCCCTGTCTACTTGCAACAGTAGATGTGTGTGTTGAGTTGTTAGTGTGAAGACATTTTCTTCTTCTCTCTGCAGGCTGGAATACTGCGATTTTACAAAGGAGGGCTGGGCTGCTCTTTTTGAAGCTCTGAAATCAAATCCCTCACACATGAAAGAGCTGAATCTGAGCAACATATTCCTATTTTCAGGAATGGATTCGCTATCTGCTCTGCTGAAGGATCCTTACTGTAAACTGGAGAAACTACAGTGAGTTACTGACTTACACACACACACACACAGTAAACCAAACCTATTATCTTGTTATTGTGATGTGTTATTACTGTTATTTATAAATGTGCTTGACAAGTATCTTTATGTTCATAATCATAGAATTCATTTTATCTTAGTTTATTCATTGTTTTTTTTATTCAGTTTGACAGTTTTCTGTTTTTTATACTGGTGTTGGAGCTGTTCAATTTGTAAAGTACTACATGCAATTTTCTAAGCCGCTTCATCGTTCTGGGTTACAGGGGGAGCTGGAGCCTATCCCAAGTACTACACAAATAATAAAAATTATTTTTATTATCATTGATATCATTAGTAGTAGTAGTAGTTGTAATGAGGACAAAACAGTGACAGGGCTCAAATGTACAAAGTCACTTTACCTGGAAACACTAAGGTATCATAACTGTACATTCTAGTGTACTGAGAATCTCCCAGATTTAAAACTTTGTAAAATTCAAGCACATCTCATGCTGATAAACTATAGTTACCTAGTACTTTAAATCAGCGGCGGCCATGAACACAGAGAAACTAAATGTTGTTAGCAGCCACAAGTCAACAAATGTTTTTTGTCAGCAAAGCTTTTCTTTTTAAGCTGTTTGAGATCATGTGAAGGGTAACATTGATTCTATCCTACATGTGTTTTTGTGCAACCACCAACATATAACCAGACTTTTATTTATTTGTCCAGCAAGCTGAACTTTAATTAGGTTTTAATTAGGTGCTGTGTCTTCTTATCAGCTTTTAAAGACCACCACACACTGGACCAGCACACACCACCATGTAGCAGATACACTAAAGCACAGCTGTACCTCATAGAAAGCCACAAGTGCATCAAAAACTTTTAAGTTCAAGTTAATGTGTACACGCTGTTGATTTAAATTTAATGAAATAAAACTTTTGCTGAAATTTATGAGTTTATCTTGTTTGGTATCAGTTACTAGTTGTTTTCATGTTGAAAGATAAGAAATAAAAACATAAGGCTGCAATATTGTCCTCATTGTTGAGGAAATAGATGATTAATATGTTATTTTAAAAATATATGCATACATCAAGAATTTTGTTATAATCAATTAATATCCAGAATGCATTGTGTGTTGAGGTAGTCAAATCTTATATAAAATGATTCAAAATAGAGGATTATACTAAACTCTTTATCATTTCAGTTTTTATTGTTCTCAAAAATACTAATATAGAGTGTAAAAATTTAATATTGAGAAAAAACTTGGAAAAATACATTTTAGTGTCTAGGTCATAATATTTCAATCTATATTTTATTATAAAGCTATTTTTAGTTATAAAATAATAACTTTATATGGCACCTATGCCTCCACTGTGTCAGACAGCACCAGGCTCGACTGATTCACTCATACCAGCACAACACACACTACCATGTAACTACCCTACCAGTGTCACTGCTGTGCTGAGAATGATCCACCACCCAAATAATACCTGCTCAGTGGTGGCCTTATATGGGGGGTGATAAACTGTGCAGTGACAGGGCTACAGTCTGTAATTGTAAACCCTGTAAAACAGCCATTAAGTGTAGATACATCCAGTCATATGCAAAAGTCTGAACACCCCTGCTCAAATTATATGTTTTCAGTGGAAATAAGTTAACACATTTTCTGCAGAGAAAACACTTAAGTATGACAGGATTTTTTCCTGATTGTAGATTGTAGTGTTTGGCTGGAAAATTTGCTTTTATCATGCTTTTAGTGTTTTGTGGGGGTTTGACCCTTTTGTAAAGAAAGTGGCCAGTGGTCCTCTACCAGTATTTTAACTGTTTTGAGAATGAATTCTGAATAGTGAAAAGAGACCAAAAAAGAAAAGAAAAAAACTAATTTTGCCTTTCAAATGTCTGTGTGTAAGTATGCTGTAAGTATGAGGAGTTTTTCCTTCTTCTCTCTGCAGACTGGAATACTGCAATATTAAAGATGAAGGCTGTGCTACTCTGATTGAAGCTCTGAAATCAAACCCCTCATTACAACTGAGAGAGCTGAATCTGAGCTGGAATGATCCAGGACAGTCAGGACTAAAGAAGCTCTCTGATCTACTGGAGGATCCACACTGTAAACTGGAGAAACTAGAGTGAGTTACTGATAGTTTTCATTTGGGAGCTGTTAAGTTCTGTAGAATCCTCACCTGTCTTCTATTGTTCCTTGTATTCAGAGCTGAGTTTTGTGCACAAAGTGAGAAGATAATACTGAAATTGTGTGCATCAATATTCAGAGTACAGATGAATCTAGACTTATGTGCTTTTCAGAAAGTTGTGTGTAGAACATGACTGACTATTGACAGTATTTATATAAGTTAAATCAAACCAGTTAAATTGTTTGTTCCCTCATGAAGTGTTTTGGATTTTTAATAATTTATTTTTGTATTTTGCAGTGCATAAATTCATTAAAATAATTAAATAAACTAGTTTCATGTTCATAAATTCTAAAAACAATGTTCTTACATTTTTATCAAATGTTTTAATAATTTATAAATACAATGTTTAAGCAATTAGAATTTTCTTAGAAAGGAATAATTCTATTTCCTTCAAATATTTTCCTATATAACAATTGTTATTATTGATATGTAATATGATTAAAATTATTAATTGTAATATAATTATTATTAATTGTAATATAATTAATATATGAAAGTTACAGATGTTACAGATTTTTTTTTTAAATGAGATATTTGGCTACAGACAAAATATAAATAGGAAATACATCATCTTTTAATAATAATCGTAATACTCCAGAAGGTGTGCTTTTTTGATTGGTAATATATTGTATTTCTTGTTATGTGGGGATTATATTACTAATACAAGAATAAACTGAATAAATTAATCCTCTAGGATAGAACTAGATCGACCTCTAAATCTTATCTTAATTAACAGAATAAAGTTGCTTTAAGTGCAATATTTTTAAATAACATAAAAGGAAATCATTATTACATGTCACCACACCACTATAGCTGAACAATTTAGCATAACAGAATCTTTAGAGGGGTTGAATTTAGTTATCTTTTTTTAGGAATAGAGAAACTTTGTCACACTTTGTTTTGCACACACAGACACACACGTACACACACACAGATAAACATAATTACTGTGTGTGTGTGTGTGTACTGTGTGTGTTGAGTTGTAAATGTAAGTTTTTCTTCTCTCTGCAGACTGGAATCCTGTGGTATTAAAGGGGGAGGCTGTGCTGCTCTGGTTGAAGCTCTGAAATCAAACCCCTCTTCACATCTGAGAGAGTTGAATCTGAGCAACAATAATCTAGGAGATTCAGGAGCAAAGGCGCTCTCTGATCTGCTGAAAGATCCACACTGTAAACTGGAGAAACTACAGTGAGTTACTGACACTCACACACACACACAATATTACTACCAAAACAATTGATATCATTATAAAATCTGGAAATCATCAGCTCTTTAATAACATTACTGCCTGTGTTTATTTTGTGATGTACTTACGTCTTGTTTGATGTCAGTGCACAACATAACAAATAAAAGGAACAGGCTTAAAGCATGATTCATATGCAACAACCTAAACATGTCTATATACATAATCTAAGGGTGTGTTTACATCTGTAGTTCCCTTTGTCTGGGCTAAACCTATTTTTATACAAATTCTGCTTCATGTAAATGGCAAATATCTAATAAAAACAGCAAAAAGTACAAATAAATGTATGATACATTGATTGATTTATTAGATTTTTTATTAGACCATTTCATTTTTTTAAAATAAACAGCATTTACCACACTTTAAATGTAAGGCAATGCATATAATATAAATAGAAACAGTCAAGGATAACACAAAATTTGTGTAAAATAGCAAGTATTCGACCATGATACAAAATCAATATCTATATCAGTACAATCATTACAAATTTAACAATAAAAATACTCAACATCTTTAAACATTTTGAAACAACCTATTAAATAGCTTTTTTTTCTTTCTTCATTTAATGATTTCCTAATGGCATGCCTAAACCCTCACAAGCTGTTCCACAAAGTTTACCTAAAAGTGTCCCTACCCATTTTACTTTTAAAACAAGAAGGAACCAAATCTGTGGACTGTTTCTGGTAGAATAACTGGATATCTTTCACTTGAGTAAAATCATTTTTAAGATACTGAGGAACAGCCCAATGTTCAATCTTATATACATTACACAACTCTATTAAAGCGTAGCTGCTGTAGCTCTTGGATCAGCACATTATCTGATTTGGTTTGAGTCATTTCATCATTGGCACAGAGGGTAGGACTTCACTTGGCTCAGAGTCTCTGTAACAGCAGGGAGACACCTAGCCAGACACATAATAGGTGGAGCCAGTGTGTAAAGCTTTATTAAAACAACAGGGGTCTAATTTCTAAAACAGACTTTTTTTAGTCTCGGTATAATTCCATGTGTGCTATTTCATTGTTTGGGTGTTTTCATTTTTATTCATATTATTGTAACGTGAAAAATAGTAGGAAAAGGAAAATGTTAAAGGGGTAGGTGTGTCCAAACTTACAAGGTTAAATAGTGAAAGCTTATTCTCCAAATTCTTAAGCTTATAACACAAATTTAAAGATTGTTGCATAAAGTTTCACCAGTTAATTTAAAAGAACAGTTTGTCAGTTTCTCTTCGACCATATTTTGTCTCCAAGGCTGTGAAATCTCACAGAGAAAAGCAATGCAGGTCCACTCTCAGCTGTAAGCTCAAACTCCTCTGAGAGTCTGAGAGAGCTGGACGTGAGTAAGACTGAACTATGGTATTCAGGTGGTAAGCATTACTGTTCTTTTCAAAGATTAGATCGGATATGCATTATTCATTGAAATGATTTTTTCTCTGAACTGCTCACTGTTTGTTTGTGGTGTAGTGTTGAATCACCAGTGAACTGCTACAACACACTGACTATACAGTTACACAATCTCCAGTTTGAAACAGACAAGCTGTATGTTTTCCTGTTCTTTTTCTAGGCTGTCTCACTGCAAAATTTCAGGTGAAGACTGTGCTGCTCTGGATTCAGCTCTGAAATCAAACCCCTCATCACACCTGAGAGAGCTGGATCTGAGCTGCAATCATCGAGCAGACATAATACTGAAGCAGATCTGTGATCTAGTGAAGGATCCACAATGGTAAATGGATAAATAAACAGAGAGAACCCAATACACCAATATTAAAGCAGACAATGGAGAAAACAACTGAAAATGTCACATTTCTACTATCAGTCACAGTAGTGATAGTTTTAATGATATGATCATAACACTGTTAATATTCGTGATTAGTGGTAATTCTTCAGCTGTGAGATATTTGTCTCTTTTAGGGTTACAATAAGTAGAAACTGTAACATTATTCCCATGTTTACCAACTCTGTTATTGCTACCTTTTTGTTTTATTCCAGACATATTTATGTTTATTTTAATGCCTTTTTGATATGGAAAATAGTCAATGTCAGTTCTGAGTTTCTGATTTTACGAATTTTCATTAAATGAAACTGACTTAATTAAACAATTTGTAAACATTTGTTAAACAAATTCCTGCTGTCCCCAGTGCTGCCCTGACTTCCACTCCACTAACATATGAAATGAATAAATGGAAATATGAACTGACTAAAATCTTAGAGAAGGACCACATTTGAAGCTCTTGCTTCCTCATACATTCTCAGAAAAACAACGATGCTGACATGGTAGTGGGTGTTGAGCTGGAAGTTTATTAGGCATAGATTTTTAGACATCTGTGTCACTGCTATGTAGAATAGTGCCCCGACCAAGATATCAGAAACTGACCACTGATGAAGGGCTAAGGCATGGGTGCACAACTCCTGTCCTGGTGTCCAGCACCATTTGATAGTTTTCCTACACAAGCTCACCCACCAAATCTGACAATTAACAGATGAATCAGGTGTGTTTGAGCAGGGAATTATCCAAATTGTGCTGGATACTGACAGTGCAGGACCCTGGATTAGAGGATGGCTAGTCCTGTGCATGGAAGAAGGTCAGTCTCTAAATGCACACCAGCAAGGTGTACTGTCAGTATAGGTGTTAATAAAGAGGCATTGGGTTTGGGTTGTAAAGGAATATGTTTTACAGCATTGTGTAATCAGAATACAAGAAAAGGTCATTGTAATCCGTTATGGTTACAGAAAACAGGACAGTAATCAGATTATAGATACATTATAAAAACAGGATGATTTCTAGCAGAATTGCATTAAAACCACATACAGGCAAATATTTACCTTTCGGCAAAATTCACTCTTCTCAATGATAAATATGTCACATGAATCATAGATTTGAAGAATTTTGGATGGTGTTGGGGCTGCCACCTGTAGAGAAACCTAAAGAACAAGCCCCAGAATGCTCAGCAGTTCAGTCTTTTATTTGGTCAATCTATAGAAATTTATAGAAGAATCTGCAGAGTTTTCATGAAGACATCTTTAATCAAACGTTTACCCTGATTTTACATGATGACCAATTCTACAGCAGCAAACTGATGTGGAAATAAACTCATTTATTCTTGTTTGTTGCTGCACAAAATTCTATACTTTAATTAGATATCAATAGGATAGATAACAGTAGGTTTGTTAATCAAATCAAAATCAAATTTATTTGTATAGCGCTTTTTACAACTGATGTTGTCACAAAGCAGCTTCACAGAAATCCGTTTAGAACAAAGTTTCAACATGAACTGTAAATCCTCCAGGTGAGCAAGCCAGGGGCGACAGTGGCAAGGAAAAACTCCCTCAGAGCTGAGGAAGAAACCTTGGGAGGAACCAAGGCTCACATGGGGGGACCCATCCTCCTCTGGTCAAACTACATACAAAATTATTATTCTACTAATATTAATAGTAGTAGTAGTAATAGTTAGGAGGTAGTGATAGTTAGGAGACTTCAGTGTAGAGTGGGCAGCCAGTCCAAGGCAGGTGGCGGTGACTGGGTTGTGGGTAACTGGTCTGAAGCGGGTAGCCGGAGAGCTCTACAAACAATCATCCAGCAGTGTCCGGCCGGACAGGTGGGCAGTCGTTTTCTCGGAAGAAAGGTAGGGAGATGGAGTTAGTTTAGTTCTGTATGGGTGTATGTATAGTAGTATGTAAAACATTTCCAGAGTGTGGCTAACGACTCTGGCAGATCTGACTATAACAGCTTAACTAAAAGGAGCGAACCGAAAGGACACACAGACACGGGAGCACCCTGAAACAATCTGGCATTCCTCCGCTCCACCTTTCACAAACCTGAGTGTTCGCGTGTGAGCGGCGGGACGACAGCACCAGTCTCAGTTTACTATAATTCCCTGCGTCCATGGACCCCTGGATCCGCTGCCTTTATCCAAGGGGAAACATTAACTAATTAATGTGTTGAAGTGAAATTATGTTAACTAAGAAGAATAACGTAGAACAGAAGAATAACAAAACATGAAAAAGTCTTGTGAGCAGTAACAGTTTTTTTGCATTCTATTTATTTATTCAATAATTTTCAAACAATGGGTGCAAACATTAACATGTAAATGATCATTATAAGTAGCTAAGACTTTGCTCTTACTAAGTATGTGAGTGTAAAATGAATGCCTTTTAAAATGTGTAGGACACACAAATTTGTTTGGACTGCCAAAAACTAAAGCTAAAAGGGACCATTAACAAATTAAATCACAAGCAGCGATCATCAAAATCTAAGCATGATGCACTGATATGAACCTTAAAGAGTCGGTGAAGGACTTCATCAGATAGAACAAAAATGGTCAGTTAGAGTTTTTAAAATGGCCTCAATGTATATTATTATTATATATAAATATATATATATATATATATATATATATATATATATGTATATATATTATTGTTGATGTCTACCAGATTGACTTATTATTTAAATAGCTTTTATTCTTGTTTTTATTTAATGATGTGTAATCCAAAAGTAACTGAAAATAATCAGATTACATTCCTTCTTGACTGATAAAGACAAATATCACAAGCTTTAGTTAGCATGGAAAGAGGTAGACACAGTGGTAACAATCAGCAGAACCAAAGACTACAACAAACTGGACAACACAGTGTCCAAAACTCAAAACATTTTTCAAACACGTTTTGAATGAAGGTGTCCATTCAGTCACCCTGAATTCACCATCCACTAACGTCCAGCATTGCTCATGGTCTGTAAGCACCGCTCAGTATTTCTCTATTACTGCATTTAATTACATCCAGAACCAGCATCTCTTACTCAGCTTACATTAATAGTAGCCATGTTCCAATTCGAGGAAGCCTCTTAGGTTCCTTTCATGGGAGGACAAGATATTAGTTTTTGTGTTCATCCAGAGAGAGAAATGAGACACGCAGCACTTCACACACCTACATGTTGGTCTAATGGATCATGTTGTCCAAATACTGGGTCGATGCCCCACCATTTTTGACCAGGCATACTGTTTCTCATAGAAAAAAATAACACCACACCAGCACAAAAAAACAAATGTTAAACTATTTTTCAGTACAAAAATATTTTGGTAGCAACAGATCTGTAATAAGTAAGTACTGGTATGGAAATATTATGGTAACAAGTCATATTTACCTAAAAGTTACATGCCAATTTTCTTAAGTTTGTAGCAATAACAAGTAGGTAATTAAATGCTAAAATAATGCTAAGTTGTACATAACAGGTAAGAAACTTAGTAGACACAAGTGGATTAGTATATTACAGCTATACCAGATCATTTCATCAGAACTACTTTATTGTTTTTGGAGTAATAACCCTAATGTAATAAAACCCCATGATGATTTAAAAGAATTGATTAAGCAGATATTATGCTGTTAGAGCTGGACAGTAAATAGTATGATATAAAATGTAAAACAGAGGTGCTACATTGACTGACCAATTGTTTAGTATTACTCACTTTTGAATCAACTGGAAAGTAACTTTTTATATCCTCGCTGTCAGAACAAAATCTCAAATCATAAACGGTAATATTAACAGAAGAAGGATAAAACATTAGCTTGTAATGGAAGATAATCTAACCAGATATTTTGAATGAATGTTGGATCATTTCTATCTGTCCAGTCATCATAAAGTTTTAACACAACGCAACAAGTAACTGGAGTTTTCAAATTATGCAGAAAAGAAATAAATAAATAACAAAATGGCTGGTGGCGATATGCAGTTTGTTACCATCATTTTTCCATTTTATTAATGACTTGTTACCACTACTGTCACCACCTTATTATTTATTAACAACCAGAAAAGGAGTATGTAAATTTGTTACTATAATTGTTGCCATAATATTAAATCATTACCCACTTAATACTGATCAGAAAACTTCTACCAATATTTATACCCAAGCTAGAATTTGTTCTTCGGGGATGTAAACTATCAAAGGGGAGCCCAGTGAGGAGTGCAGGGTCAAAACACTGACGCTGCTCTTGAAAAGTTTTATTGGGTCATGTTGTTATACATTATAGTCATGCGCTATATGAATAGTAGTACTTCTAGTCAGTTAGTGGCCCACTTGTCTTTTGTCAGTTAGAAAAAAAGAAACATTGGTCAGTAAGCTGCTGTCCTCTTGCCAATAACTTGCACCTCTCTAATTTTGGAGGAATGGCACCGCTCCTGGACAGGGGCAATGTTTTGTTTGGAAAAGAATTTAAAAGCTCCTAGCAGACTTCTATCATAGAGAGTCACTGCTCTGCACATGATGCTGATGCTTTTACACCTAAAGAAGCTCTGCTCCATCCTCTACACCGTTTAATTACTTCTAATTTATGATAAAGATAGGCCTATTGGTAACACTTTACATTAAGGGTTGCTAATCAATCATTAAATATATAATAATCAACTATTAGTTTCCCATTATTCAGTTATTAGTTAACTCTTCATTAAGCATTAGCTATTACTTAATAATTGATTAAGCACTTATCAATTAGTAATTAAGTACACTGTTAGTTGATAAGTTAGTTTGTCGTTAGTTTGTGGCTTACTTACTCATTATCTGTGTGCTAATTGCTGCTTATTCCATTGTTAATTAACTGATAAGTATTTTTCTTCATATAAAGAAGTAACGTGATAACTTACTAGCACTTATGTGTTAATCCCGCTAATTATCTGTTAATTAACTTTCCATCACCTCCATATATTCAGTTGCTTCACTTTTCTCACTTTGGTTCTTGTTCATTAAAGATGTTTATGGTCCCATCTGACCGTAAGATGAGCGCACACAAATTCACTGACGGTTTTGTTATTCATCACGTTCATCTTGGCATATCTGTACTCATATCTGGTAGGAGTGTATGTAAATTTGGGCATAAATGCTGGATATGTGGCTAATTAACCAAAACTATTATCAACATAATCTGTAATTGCAAAAATAAGAACAACAGTAGAAAATATCAATAATACTAATTTGTGTGCATGACAGTCCAGTACAAAAGTGGATGTACTTACTTTACATGCACATTGATATAAACAAGTGCTGCAACTATTTCATGTTCCATTTAAAGACACATTACACTGTGCCTTTGTTTCATACTACTGACTCACAAACACAGCTTCGGTCATACACTGCAATAATACAGCGTTTATTTTAGAGAATTAATTACACTAAACAATCACTCTACTATGTTAACAACACTGAGTATTTTGTTTTATTTCACATTTTATTTTTTCCAGTTGTTTTCATTTTAATACTATTAAGTTTGGTCAGCAGCGGAGGAGTGCACACACTGCTGGACATCAAACTCCACCCATGAGCACGGCCATTAGCTTTCATGCCAAACACTGCCGTTTTATTGGCTGGCTACCTTATAAAAGGCAAAAAATGTGTTCTTTTTTTACTTAACTTTGATGATTAATGGCCATTAGATCTTTACATTTTGACCATTAATTACTTCCTAAATTCCACTTAATCAACCATTCATAGCTTCTTAAATTCCTCTTACTTAATCATTAATTACTGCTTTTGTGTCCCTCCAAGTAAAGTGACAACACAAAATCAATAATTAATGGTTAAGTAAGAGGAATTTAGGAAGTAATTAATGGTCAAAATATAAAGATCTAATGGCCATTTTGTCATGATAGTGCACGAAAACTAACATATGTCTGTTGTAGCTCAGTATTTGAGCATTATAGTTCACTGCTAATGCTTAATCCGGACATAATCGCGACTCTTTGTGAAAAGGGCCCACGGCTATTAGATCTTTACATTTTGACCATTAATTACTTCTTAAATTCCTCTTACTTAACCATTAATTAATGCTTTTGTGTCCCTCCAAGTAAAGTGACAACACAAAATCAATAATTAATGATTAAGTAAGAGGAATTTAAGAAGCAATGAATGGTTGATTAAGTGGAATTTAATAAGTAATTAATGGTCAAAGTGTAAAAATCTAATGGCTGTGGGCCCTTTTCACAAAGAGTCGCGATTACGACCGGATTAAGCATTAGCAGTGAACTATAATGCTCACTGAGCTACAACAGACATATGTCAGTTTTCGTGCACTATCATGACAAAAGGAAGTGAATGGAAGCCCTGATTTAACTGTAAACACAGCTGAAATGCTGTGTGTGGTGTAGAGTTAGCCCTGCTTACTGCTGCTACAGCTGCTCACATCAAGCTGTGTCTCTGTAGTTGAACAACATGCCAGAGATTTCTGTAATATTTCTGTTTTCAAAAGAAATAAAATTTCTTCTGTGTGGTATGAATTTGATAGACGTTGTTTAGCTGTAGCTAGCTAGCAACGCTAGAAGCCATTTCTAACTGTAGCTGTGTTCACAAAATAAGGAAGCTAGCTTTCATCAGCTGCTGCCACCAGCCGGCTAACAACTTTTACATGTAAGGTCTATTTGATAGACATCGTTTAAACTGTATTAGCTTACGGTAGGCTAGCAGTTTGAGGAGCACCAGCTTCATATGAGTAGCAAACTTTAAAGCTAAGTTAGCTCTAACGCTGGCTATGTTAGCGATCTGCCAAACAGCATTATTCTTATGGTTTCAAGGAAATTTTTGAAGCAGCACTTCAGAAAACATCCACCTTTCACTGCTCAGTCAAAAACGAGACTCCGAGCTGAAAAAAACATCTGAAAAAGCTGCTTCATGTTAGCCGGGCTGGTTTGGTTAGCAGTAGCTTCTAGCCAGTATAGCTAGCTTAATATAAAGAGTCTATAACATTCATGCTACATATAAAAGTTCTTCTTTCTTTTGAAAACAGAATATTACCGAAATCACTGGAATGTTGTACAAAGACACAGAGACGGCCTGATGTGAAGCAGCTGCAGCAGGACTGCAGTAAAAACAACATACAGCATCTCAGCTCTGTTTACAGTTAAATCAGAGCCTCCGTCCACTTTTTACTCTCACTGTCACAGCCGAGCAGGAACACTACAATACAGCTGTTGTAGCTCAGAGTTTGATCATTATAGTTCACTACTAAACACTCTGACATCGCGTCTGCAGTAGCTTTATGGAGAGGAAGTGAGTTTTACCCTGCTAATGCTTAAACCGGAAGTAATCACAAATCTTGTGAAAAGGGCCCATTAATCATCAAAGTTACGTAAAAAAAGAACAAGTTTTTTTGTCTTTTATAAGGTTTGAACTGCTCTGCGTCTGATTCTTAACAATTTTGTAGGATGTGGAAACAAGTGGAGATTTGAGCATAAATGATAAATCAGCTTCAGTGCATGAAACCAGCCGACCAGCACCTCATTTACATATCATTTACATGAAGCACACACTAATTCATGCAAATGTTTCAGTAGCCAGCCAATAAAACGGCAGTGTTTGGCATGAAAGCTAATGGCCGTGCTCGTGGGTGGAGTTTGATGTCCAGCAGTGAGTGCACTCCTCCCCTGCTGACCAAACTTCATAGTATTAAAATGAAAACAACTGGAAAAAAAAATGTGAAATAAAACAAAATACTCTGTGTTGTTAACATAGTAGAGTGATTGTTTAGTGTAATTAATTCCCTAAAATAAACGCTGTATTATTGCAGTGTATGACCGAAGCTGTGTTTGTGAGTCAGTAGTATGAAACTAAAGCACAGTGTAATGTGTCTTTAAATGGAACATGAAATAGTTGCAGCACTTGTTTATATCAATGTGCATGTAAAGTCAGTACATCCACTTTTGTACTGGACTGTCCTGCACACAAATTAGTATTATTGATATTTTCTATTGTTGTTCTTATTTTTGCAATTACAGATTATGTTGATAATAGTTTTGGTTAATTAGCCACATATCCAGCATTTATGCCCAAATTTACATGCACTCCTACCAGATATGAGTACAGATATGCCAAGATGAACGTGATGAATAACAAAACCGTCAGTGAATTTGTGTGCACTCATCTTACGGTCAGATGGGACCATAAACATCTTTAATGAACAAGAACCAAAGTGAGAAAAGTGAAGCAACTGAATATATGGAGGTGATGGAAAGTTAATTAACAGATAATTAGCGGGATTAACACATAAGTGCTAGTAAGTTATCATGTTCTTTATATGAAGAAAAATACTTATTAGTTAATTAACAATGTAATAAGCAGCAGTTAGCACACAGATAATGAGTAAGTAAGACATAAACTAACGACAAACTAACTTATCAACTAACAGTGTACTTAATTACTAATTGATAAGTGCTTAATCAATTACTAAGTAATAGCTAATGCTTAATGAAGAGTTAACTAATAACTGAATAATGGGAAACTAATAGTTGATTATTATATATTTAATGATTGATTAGCGATCCTTAATGTAGTGTTACCAGCCTATTAATATCATTCTACAGAAACATTTTTGTGTGCCTAGCATTTACAGATATATTACACCTAAAAAAACATGTTACAATTTATATTTGAAAATAAAACAATGTTATCAATATAACAATTAGACCTTCTTGATCCATCAATTTAGCAATATTGCTTTTTAAATTAATTATCTAGAATTCCAAGCACCACAGAAGTGCTTGTCCTCACAGTCATGTGTAAAAGGCGAATACCATGCTGAAGTAAAAAACGTTTTTCTGCTATTTTAACTGCAATAATCTATACATGACTATGAAATATATGATTTAAATGACAAAGAAAACGAATGGCAAATAAATATTATAAAATATATAATGAAAGTTGTCCCCAGGAGTCGTATCACTGGTGTTACTGCGTAACAAAAAATCTCTTATTTTGAAATAAAAATCACACTGATGACATCACTTGACTTCCTTTTACCTGTTTTCTGAGGATCTATGAAGAAAAGCACATGGTGAGTCCACTGTGTCTTTCAGTTATCAGAGATTTTCTCATTTAGCTCATGATTTCATTTAAAGCTTTTAGCTGAAGTCACTGGTGTGACCGACTTTATTCTGAGGTAACTGTGAGAAAATAGAATACAAATGGATTAAATTCCATATTTTAGTGCATATTCAGTGATTGACAACATGTGGTTTGATGCTCTGTAACAGCCGTTTAGTAAAATGCATGTTTCATTTAAAATATCTCTGGTGTTTCCTTTATTATGTGTAACACCAATGAGGATCAGTAACACCAGTGACACCTATGGAGAGATAGAAAAATGGAGGTTTCTGTAGAATGACCCATTAATAAAATGTTATTAAAAGCTTATGTAAGTTAGACACCAAATGATGTTAATGATGTAAGATATAGATTAATAATGCAACTTAGGTTAGTAATAAAACTGATTTGAATGCTTTTTGACAACCACCATTCACAACTGTTCATTACAGTTGTAATAGTTAGGATATGGCACCACCTAGTGTGTAAATAGGGCATTACAGTAAGTTTGCTATTAAAAGACAGACCATATCCTACTTTTTCTTGTATTTACTTTTTTTCTCATTTATGAATTTTACTTATGTTTATGTAAGAAAAACAGCCGTGATTCATTTTACATGACCAACATCTCTTTATTCTAAGGGATAAAGAGGCTGTGCTTTTAAGGCTCAAATGGGTAAACAATCTGTTCTAGCCTTGACTCACTCAAAAAGCAGTCAGTGCTGAAACACTCCCACAAGTTAAGTCTGGTTTCAAAATGGGCCATTTTTGCTAAACAGTTAACATATGAACTGAAAAGAAAACAGTATATTTGAAACTTTAACAATGTTTGCACACATCAAACACTTCTTTTGGAAAAAAGTTGAGGAAATCTGGTTGGTCAGGTTGGCATCAGCGTGGGATGGCGCGTATCTGAAAGGGTTTGGGGGCCGTGGTGATGCCCACAGTGCCCTCTAACATCACAGTCTGGCCCTCAGGGGCTTGAAAGCTGAAGCTTTGCATCATGCAGGTGAGGAACAGGAAGAACTCCATATGCACCATCTGTTCACCTGGACACGTACGCTTACCTGCAAAAACATGGCACCAGTTAGTGAACTCACAGAGCTACAGTGAGAGGCCAGATTAGGCCTGGATTAGAGATTACTGACACAGAAGCCACGTTTTCTTTACAGCAGATGGAAGGCTGATAACATTAATGCTATGAAGCTGAAACTTTTACTACAGTCATATAACTGTAGTCAGTGGCGTGTGCAGACTTTGGAGAAGGCAAGGCTTGCATGTTTTAAAAGGGTGTTTTGTGGGGGCATTTTTAGAAGAGTTCATATCAGTTTGTGGTTTTCTGTACGCAGACCTGAATTTAATTATACAAAGTATATTCAAATCCATTTTTCTTGTCATAAGAACCAAGACTAAACCTAATCCTGGTAATGTTCTGTTAAATAACTACAATCACACACACACAAACGCACACTTTCTAAGCCGCTTATCCTTCTGGGTCACGAGGGGAGCTGGAGCCTATCCCAGCGGCCATTGGGCGGAAGGCTGGAAACACCCCGGACAGGCCACAAGTCCATCACAGATGGACAGACAGACAGACACACACCTAGGGCCAATTTAGCATCTCCAGTTGGCCTGACTGCATGTCTTTGGACTGTGGGAGGAAACCCACTCAGACACAGGGAGAACATGGCTAAGTTAATATTACATTGTGACTTATCATATTTAGCTAGTTAATTAAACTTATTATCTAGGTACCAAAAACTATTCCGTACCAGCATCTACCAGCTTCACTATTCATCTACCAGCATCTTTCCTGTGTTTTTTTGCAGACAGCTTGTAAAAAATAACAAAAACAAGATATGTGACTATTATTTTGGAAAAAAAATATCTAATGGAGCTAAAAGCAATAATATATATAAATTCACTTCTCTGACTGATTGAGGCTGTAAGTGTTTCAGACCACATGGTGGCAACAAACAACAAGAAGTCTTTTTTTCCTGATATTAGTATCACACTTCATGGCTTCTATAATGTTGCTGTTTCATTGTGACATATGATGGACCTCACAGTCTGGTGTGCTGTGATAATTAAGTGTAAAGTGGAGCAGAGAAACAGTAGCACTGTGTGATCAGGTTCAAGGTTTAAAGCCATTTTATAAAATTATCAACGCAACCAAACTGTGTCAGCTAGCAGTCATGACTGCTTGACCCCACAGGTACTTTCAGTGGTCATACACTGTAAAAAGTGTCTCGTCAGATTTGCTTAAAAAAATTACTTCACGTAGTAACAAGCAGTTGAACTAGGTTTATTCAACTTGAACTTCATTGATTGAAAGAATCGTTCATTCAAAGTGTTTATTTAGGTTGAATAAAACTGGTTAATTGAGTTCTTACTACTGAAGTAATTTAAGTAGATCTAATGAGACACTTTTTACAGTGTATGATGAATTTGTTTAACGCATGCTGGGTTTTGTAGTGAAAGAACACCTGATGAATGAAAACATCAAAATAATATAAATTTCTGAATTGTGTCAAACCAGCAACGCTCAGGGATACAAATCTGTGCTTTTAGAAAACAGTAAGCAAAAGAAAAGTATCGTGCTTGAGTTTGTAGTACATGCACTGTTTTGTACGGAAGATCATTCTGAATCATAAAATGTTGAACGTTACCTATAGAAAAGGGGATAAAACTTTCTTTCTTTAGAAATTTGCCATTCTCGTCCAGGAAGTGTCCAGGGTTGAACTGGTCTGGTGTGCTGAACTCATTCTTGTCCTGCATGATTGGCCTCAGCATGGGGAACACGGTCATCCCCTGGAATAGATCAGAAAGGAGCGTGAAAGTGTCACACAGTTAGTGACATCCGTATATACTATCACTCACACACACACACACACACACACACACACACACACACACACACACACACAAGCAACTATAATAATGCACATGGAAGAAGACCCTTTGTTAAACTGACCCATACCATCACTCATGTTAATTTCTAGGGCTGAAATATTATCATTATCGCACTTTTCACGGTGGCGCAGTGGGTAGCGCTGTCACCTCACAGCAAGAAGGGCCTGGGTTCGATTCCCGGCTGGGCGACCAGGGTCATTTGTGTGTGGAGTTTGCCTGTTCTCCCCGTGTCTGTGTGGGTTTCCTCCGGGTACTCTGGTTTCCTCCCACAGTCCAAAAATATGCAGTCAGGCTGATTGGACATGCTAAATTGCCCCTAGGTGTGAGTGTGATTGTATATGTCTGTCTGTCTGATGTCTGTCTGTCTGTCTGCCCTGCGATGGACTGGCAACCTGTCCAGGGTGTATCCTGCCTTCCGCCCAATGACAGCTGGGATAGGCTCCAGCACCCCACCGCGACCCAGAAGGATAAGCGGTTTAGATGATGTTTAGATTATGTATGTATGTAAGTATTAAAAGCAGAACAAACAATATGTACATACACACACACAGTAAAAAAATAAACATTAACAAAAAATGAGGAAAAAAATCCTTTCAAATATTAAAACTAATGAATGTAAGAGAATAAAAGTCTCAAGGCAGTTCTTAAAACAATGCGCTGATGCAGACAGTCTTCCAGTATTTCAGGCATGATATAAAAGCATGATTTTTTTTAGTATCTTCCAAAGACAGGCTTCTTTTCACTTTAGCAGTATTTCTTAAATGAAAAAGAAGGACTAAACAAGTTTCTAGATATGCAATAAAAAGTTCAGACAAGAGGTCAAAAATAATAGATTCCTAGAATACCATTTAACTTTTGACCGCCAGGGGACAAAACATGCTGCAACTCCCCCAAAACATCAAGATAAATAAGTCGATGTTTTGTCTTTATTTAATTCAAGAAAGTTGAAAGACAGGTTTTTTTTTTATAGCTGCCAAGCTTTTAAATGGGTTGACTAAGCAACTAAAATCACTGCATCTTACAGACAAATATAACTGCAGATTATCAAATTTTAACCCCTTCAGTGCCAAGAGAATCATATTTGATACAGGAGTTTGAGAATCCATCCAAATGGTTGCCATCAGTTAGTGACCCACCTGTGGTTTTGTGTGGATTTTTATCAATTTTGTAAAGGTTAAGGTAAGAAAAACTTTCAAAATGTTATTGATACTTCAACAGGAATATTGACTGGATTGATGCAAATCATTACTTAATATTGCACAATTTTTATTGTAAACAAGTTGAAAATGTGTGTATCAAATTATATACAGCAGGTAATTGAAGTAATTTATCTGTAAATCCATCAATCATCATTTTATTGCATTTCATGCATTCTGCATTCTATAAAGCAACATGCACTCTGAATTATTTAACTAAAATAATTTAATGTTTAAACAACAATTAGATGGCTCACTTACTAATAAATTGTCTTTTGCTCATTGATTTTCACTAAAAACTGACTGAGAAGAAAAACAATGTTTTTGGTGTGAATTTTTTTTAGATGGCAAAAAAGCACAGTGTTGCAAGATGTCCTGAAGATGATTTTGGATGGTGATTCAAGTGACATGGAGCAGTTATAGGAAGATTACAACGACGACGACTCGAACTTGTGCAGAGGGAAAATGAGAAGTAATGAAGAAGACCTGCAATATGAAAGTGTCAACCAGACAAATGCAGACATCGAGGGCCCAACATCAACACAAGACACAACAAAGCAGTCAGCAAAGGGCAAAGTGAAAAGAAAGAAGCATCAGTGGAAAAAAACAATATGGACCTCCAACTGTTGATTTTGATGAATGTGTCAAGGAAGACTCGGAAGACAGGCTTGACTGGGCGCCATACATGTATTTAAAAAATTGCGACTGACTAAATGCTACAGGAAATTGCAGAATAAACCAACTTGTTCAGTGTACAGAAAGTGAACACAACTGTCAGAGATTTTAAGCATTTACTGAGTATGTACATGCACATGGGGTTAGTACAGATGCCTAATGGACAAACTTATTGGGAGATGAAGACAAAGCACCCCGCAGTTTGTGACGTGATGTCTCAAGATCTATTTCTGAAACTGCTGACATAGATTCACTTCCAGGACCATCTCAGTGTGTCTGATGTGAAGAAAGAAACTTTGGAAACTCAGGCCACAGTTACAAAAAGTACGTGAGCAGTTTCGTTGCAGACCTCCTTTAGAAGATCATACTGTTAATGAAACCACTGTGCCATGCAAGGGCGAATCGCATCTACGTGTCTACTTGCCAGCAAAACCTCACAAGGGAACATGCTGGACAAAGTGGCTTTCTTTATGACTGTGACATTTGCGAAAAGGCAGGAAATCCAGACCAAACGAAATCTGTTGTTGGTGCCACTGGAGGCGTTGTCTCGGAAATGACCTCAAACCTTCCAGCTGGTTTTTACAGACAACTATTTCACATCAGTTCCACTGGTTGAACATTTGAAAGAAAGAGGAATCCAGTACATAGGCGCAGTCCGAATGAACAGGGTAAAAGACTGCAACATGATGGATGAGAAAGAAAAAAAGGGACGAGTGTCTCTGGATTCCAGAGTAAACCAGGACATGACCACTTTAAGATGGTGTGCCAACAAAGCTGTGAACCTTTTGTTGGCATTAAACCACTGGGCAACATGAAACGTTGGGATTGAAACCCCAAAACCTACATAAAAGTTCACAGACCAGACATTTTTTAAATATCTAACAAGTTCTTGGAAGGAGTTGACCTTGGCTTCTTTCCACTGCAGGGCCGAATGGTTCTGAGCATAGAGGGTAACCGTTCTCGAAACTGTACTCGGAGCCACAGAACTGTTCAGTAGGATGATGTAACAACATAGCCATTTGCTGATTTGTTGCATGTTTTTATGCCTGAGCATCCTGCTGCGTTATTTCAAACCAGGATATGATCAAATAAGTTGTTCACAAAGACACCAAAAAAATGAAAGCAGTGCAGGATTTTAAATCAATAAACGTCAAAGCTTCAATCTAACACCAATTTGTAATTGTTAAAAGGTGCTGCTAACCAGCAGAGTGTAACTGGTGAGCATTTAGCTAGCCATGCTGCCATCTCTGTTCACCACAGAACAGGTTCAGCTCTGACTAACAAAACCTTTACTGACACACATTCAGATGATAATGACTGAGCTCTGTGGAAGTGAAGTCAAGTGGCTGATGTGAGAAATTAAAAATTGAAATTAAACCTCTTCTCTGGTATCTGTAGCTGGAACCTCCTCCCTAAGCTAATGCTACCCAGCTCCTCTGGCCTAGCTAACTTAGCTTAGCTAAAAAGATCCAAACACCACAGTGCAGCTTTGAGTTGACTACCTGCTGCTTTGGTATCACAAGTATAGACAACTAATTTTTTTTTAAGAGTGAGACTGTCGACTGATTGGTGGTTGAGTTGAAAGCTGAAATCGGACCTGTTCTGTAGGGAAAAAATTGTGTGTGTGTGTATATATCTATCTATCTATCTTCAGCCATATATATATGAGAACATTTTCCGGAATTATTTAAAGGAATTTGTAAATATATCTGTAAGTCTGTATATTAATGGTTTTCAAATATGAGAGTTCTCTAAACGGGTAAAATGTGTGGGTAATTAATTACCAGTGTAGTGGTGTGAGCGGAGTTTTCACAGGCCTCACTGAAAGCAAAAGTGAAAACAAAGTTTTTTTGTGATGTTGCGCCAGTGTTTGAAATTTGGATAAAACGTCAGAACATCTTTAAGACACCATCTCATGTCTGACTCAAGACCTGTATTGTTGAAGCGTAACGGATGCAGTTGCGTTATTCGGTCATGTATTTCATTCATTTATTTGCAGAATCCAGCAGCCATGCAGTGGCCTTTAATAAAATTGAGTTTTGAGTCAATGGGTTTTCTGTTCTTTTCTAAGTACAGGGAAACAATTCTAAATTATGGGAACAGACCGTGGCGGTATGATGCAGATGCAACTGATAGCGATTAGGTTTCTGGAAAGCGCTGGAACATTCCTTAAAAGTGTTTATGGTGTCAGATGTCAGTGAAGGAATGAAAGAACTCTCTACAGTAAGTTCCACTAAGTTCCCACCGTGGGATCCCAAACTTAGTAATGAGACTGCCTGCTGCTGTAGTGACTCAGCTAAAGATTAAGATACGGCAGACTTCTTCCCCAGTGTCTGACCTTAGGAATGAGGTAGCCCGATACTGTAGTGTCTCTGTTGGCCACTCTGGGAGGAGTGATGTTGAGGGCGTTAGCAGCACGTAGAACCTCATGGATCACTGCGTAGGTGTAGGGCATCAGAGTCCGGTCAGTCATCGAGGGCTGACGAGCCCGTCCTATCACCTGATCAACCTCAGCATGGACTTTCTCTGCAGGTGTAAAAGAACAAAAACACAGATGGGGATACCCACAGTATCCTTAGCAAAGCATATTAGGATGCAATTTATAACAATAAAATATAGTCATGTTACCCATCACCAGCTCAACTTGTCATTGACATTTTTTATGTTGACAAAACATGGTTCAGGGCATTACAGTCCTACCTTGCACTTCAGGATATTTGGCCATGTAAAGTAACGTCCATAAAAGAGTGTTGGAAGTAGTTTCTGTGCCGGCTGCAAACAGATCCACCACACAGAACACCAGGTTCTCCTCTGTGAACTGGGCTCTGCTGTCTTTACACTGGAGAAACCAAGCAGTGCAGAGATTTACTTTATTGAGAGAGTGAAAGTTCCTAGGACACTCCATTTTTTTCATAATGAAATTATTGTGGAAACAGTCATTCATAGTAGTTTGATATGGAACTTGCCAAGACAAAATTGTTTACAGTGGTGGTGATGGGAACCAGACGTCTGAAGAGTTTAATGCCTCTAAAAGCTCCCTCACAGAAAGTTACTACATGAAATGGTAATAAATACACTGCCTAATGTCTGAGACACCGAGTGTGTTTACATGCACTTAATAATCGGATCATAATCAGATATCTGCAGTTATCCAATTATTCAAATGGTCACGTAAAACACCATACTCTGATGTAGAAACACGATTAAGAAATCTGAAAAAGAGGCTGGATTTCTCAGTGCATGATAATCAGATTTCTCAGTGCATGTAAACTCTTACTCTGATTTCTTTCAGATTTCTCAGTCTGTGCTTGTGCGAAAACAGACTGTGATACCATAAATAGGCGAGCAGCGTCGCCACGAAATGCAGCAAAACACTTTTGGAGCGACACTGAAACCAAACACATTCACGATGAAACTCACGATTTAAAAGCTGCAGCATGAAGTTTGAGTTTTACATTACGTCACTTCTTCTGTGAGGCTGGTTCTAAAGCAGAAATCTGATCTGACTGCCAGACTCATGTAGACCTGGAGTTATCTGATAACTCAAGTGCTTGTAAACATGTTGATCGGGTTACTGACAAAATTTGATTTTATGCCGGATTATTATACCGGATTATTAAGTGCATGTAAATGCACTCACTGTTTTTGTAAATTCACTAACGGTGGAGCGGCTTTGTGAAATTTTAAAATTAGGTACACGTAGGATTACTGGTGGTTTTGCATAGTAAATAAAATGTCTATGTTTGCCATAAATCACCGGCACTGTAAAGAAGTCTGAGACAGTAAGTTTCTCTACAGTACACCATTTCAAATCATTCTGAATGACTTTATTTACAACTCAGTGATTGAAGTATGCAGACATTTAAAAAAATTGGCGGAATTCTCATTTTAAGGCTCTCAGAAAAAACCTAAATCTAGACTAAATAGAATTTTTTAAAAGGTGAAATACTATTGGCACTGCAATTTAGCCCAACACTAGGTTCAATCCAGAGGAACAGTTATATATTATATTACTTGCACAGAGAAGGAATGTTGCCTCCATCTATTAATACAATTATTTGAATGTGCACAAATGGGCAAGACTATTCTATTAAAAGGTCTTTTCCAACTTCACCCTCTGGCTACTGGTCTCCCACTAGTGCATGATGCTCCCAACCTGGGAGGGTGAAGGCTAGCATGAACTTACTCCAAGACCCATTAAGTCCCCCCACATCTTTTTAAACTGCTGCTAACACAAAGTCATTGGAGCTCAACACGCTTGGAGGAGGATACTAACAGCGAATTCTGTTCCATCAGCTAACAGAGGCCTGTGTTGGCTAGTATCGTGATTGGGTAGAGGGAGGATAATCCTACCAATCCAGACAGAGTAAGGAAAAGTAGGCTCTTTTGGACTCTCAGGCATGGATGGCTAACACTTTATCCCCTCAGTTGTTTGAAGACTGAGACCAACTGCTTCAACAAGTAGAATCAGGCATGTTTCAGCTTGATTGTAATGAACACCTGCAGCCACACCAGTCCCTTGGAAAGATAAGGTCAGTGACCCATGCCTTAAATACATAAATGGCTTCTAATATGTGGACCTTTCTGTTTAGTGGTTTTTAGTGCATGTTTATTTTGTGAAACTCATATTTCAGTAATTTGTCTAAGATGCTCAAAGGTCAGTTGTATAAGATGACTTTAATACCTTCTCGATTTCTTCCAAGTAGCAGTCGATATAATCTCTGGGGTTGCTGGGGTTTCGGTCCTGCTTGTGTCTCTGGATCTCTTCCTGGATGAAGTGCTTAATCTTTGCGAGGCTGGAGAAGGCAGTTTGGTGCTTACCCGGCAACCAGGACATGAGGGTGGGGAAGCGGTTGTACAACTGTGCAAGCAGAAAGAGAAACACTTATCTTTATCTTCTCTGTATCTGCATAGAGTTAACCAATTGCAACTGGGGTAGAGGGTCAACAGAATATGGCCTTACATACTGATAAAGCAATTAGATTAGGCAATTACCTCTACACCTATTCATGTAGAATACATGATAAACAAATACATAAGTTGGATAACATAACAGCGTTTCTAGCACGTATCCTCGGGCCTCTTACCTGACCCCAGGCGTTTGCAGGCAGCTGAACTACGTCATCGAAATACATTAGTATCTGATGTAACTGCTGGTCATTGTACTCAAACCTGCGGCCGAACACCAGGCTGCAGATTATATTGGCCACTGCGTTGGAGAGGATACGGTCGGGGTCAAAGGACAAACCTGAGAGAGATAGTAAGCACCAGGCTGCAGTTACCATGATCGTGACTACAGTTACTGAAAATTACAGACTTGTATTTTAAAACCTGCAGACCTTGTTGTGCTTGCAGAGCTTCACACAGGTAGCGGCTCTCCTGCAGGATGGATTCCTCCATGGTTTTCTTCCCTGCCCCAAAGTGCTTCAGCACGGCTATAGCGAAGCGTCTCTGCTGGCTCCACGCGTGTCCACTAGAAGAGATCAAGCCTGCAAACAAAAATTCAATTAAAAACATCATGAGTAGATTATATTATCCCATGACAAACGAAGCAGGTGGACTTCTTTCATAAGTTCTTGCTCGCCGCTGCCCTCTAGAGGTGTCATAGCACCTGTCAGAAGTTAGAACTTTGGTTGCTTTTCTAAGACACCAGGCACGTCTCAGTAAATGCATTTCCTGCATTTGTTTGCCTCTCAACATTAAAATTTTCCACTCAACATGGTCTGATTGCTGTGCCTTAAATATAGCATGGTGAAAACTAATAATAGCTTAAGTAATTGCAGCTGGCTTAATCAGGTGGTTGCATAACAGTTATGACAGACTTAGTGAGCCATGTCCATCTGGGTAGATAAAAGCGTGTCAATTTCAACACTGCATTCTTGAAAGTGTTATGTAAATAACACACTTTCTCGTCTCCAACACATTTTGTTGGCCAAACAAACACACCAGCACAAAGACACACTTGTTTGCCATGCATTTCTCAGGTGTAACATCACTGAAGGCTGTCCCATTGTGTGTGGGTGACTGCTTTTTCTAAATGTGTTGGGACATTTCCAGGCAGCTATGAACAGTGACTCCACATATAAAAACCTGAAAATGTCAATTTCACATGGCCCTAGGCTGGCATGTTCCTCCTTATGAGGAACCCAGGTGCATTAGATGGATCCGGGTGCATTTACCCAATCCTCTGGACAGTCGGTCATTCAGTGGGTAGTACGCCCGCTCAGCAAAGATGTCCGCTTGTTCCACAAACGCCTCTTTGAAACTCTTATAGCCAGAGAGCAGAATACAGGCCTCGCTCAAGAGGTAAATCGTGCTTACATCTCCATACTTCTCATGCATCTGGGGACAAACATAGTGGCAGGCATTGTCACACAAGAACAAACTAAAGAGGTGCTCAGAAATCTTTAAAACCAGCTAGGCATACATTCAGCTGTGATTTTCTCTGACTAAAGCAATTGTAAAGTTTGTCAAAGCTGCTATAAAAATAAATATATTATTTATATTATGATGCTGACCTTTGAAAAGGACCCAACTGGATTGCGAATGTTGATGTTGTGCACGTTCCCTATAAGAGGCAGAGGAAAGGGACCAGGCGGGAAGTTCTTGGGCCGAACGTCACTCAGGTATTTCACCAGTACCAAAACCACCAGAAAGACCAGAATTCCCTCCATGGAGAAGTACTTTGCAGTCACTTTTAACAGCGCACTGATAATGGATGCCATGCCTTCTCCTGCTGACTGTCAAAAGAATATCTTATCATCAATTAACTTTTACAACAAATGCAGATAACTTCAGTGTTAACAATTAACCAACGTCTATATGGTGGAGGAAAAAACTAAGTGATAGCGCCATTTGATCTGCAGATCGCTATGGAAGCTGTCAGGTTCTACAGTGACTTGTGTTTACAGTTTTAATAAGCATATCTACTTTTTTTGGTGCATTTCTATTATTAAACTTCATATTTTATCACAAATCCCTTTACTATTGTGTGTTAACATTGCTTCAGCTATATTCTGCATTTATGCTGATTATTAATATGCCTGTTTATGGCTGTATGTACATTGAGAAATTAGATAAGACAGATAGTTAACATAGTAGTGGTAGTAGGTGTTGCAAACCATTCAAATGAACCTTCTTTCACTACACTGCAACAATGCTAATAGGTCATACATTGAGTATGGACGCAGGACAGATGCTCTTTAAATCCCCCCAGAAAGCTAACTCTGGCATGAATTTCACAAAGCAGGATTTCATAGTAAGCCAAAAATGAGGACTGTCCTATAAGAATGACCTCTTTATACTGGACAAGCTTGATTTATGGTTTACATCGCTTGACAAGCTATAGTCTCGTGAGATCAGATGTGATCTCATAACCACAATGCCTGTGGACAACACTGCGTTAAATGTTGGTGGGAACCTAGATTTATTAGGGTGGGAACAAACTGAGCGTGACATTTCTAAACCAATCCAGCAACTCGTGAATGTGAAGCTCAAAGTAGGGGGCAATGGTGGTCGGTCTTAGAGACGTCATACAACGTTGGTGGCGGGGACGGCCATGGTGGCTAGGTTAAAAAGACTCCCTATTCTTCCCTCCAGGCACTGATGCTGGTTGATGAAGTCGCTACTGTCTGGCTGCTATCCAGCCTATTGTCAGCTTGTGGACTTAACATCGAGAAAATAATTATCAATGGTATTTCAAATGTTGAAAATCTGGGAATTATTAGTGGTGGATCATTATGCAATTCTCATTACAAGATGACGTCTGGCCCCACTAGACTAGGCTAAATGTTGAACGCCCAGATGCCAACCATGCATCTGTAGAAATAAACTTGCCAGAGATATACTCACACAAAGACCTTAACTCGGGGGTGTCCCATCTTGCATGCAAAGGGCCGGTGTGGCTGCAGCTTTTTCATTCCAACAACACTGCAGCACACATGATCGGTAGCTGAAGACTGAGACTAAGTGATTAAATCAGTAGGATCAGGTGTGCTCCTGCTTATTTGTGCTGAAAAGCTGCAGCCACACTGGCCCTTTGTGGTAAGACTGGACACCCCTTCCTTTAACACCCTTATCTCTGTTTTCTAATGTTCCTGAACTTTTTGCCTGAGGTTTATATTTTGTGTTTAAAAAAAAATAAAAATAGCCGTAGTTCATTTTTTCAGAGCTCATTTACACATCAGCCTCAAAGGCACAGTAACTATAACAGCATCTTTCATTCAGAAAGCAGTGCAGGCCGAAGTGGCTTTTAGCGTGAATGTGTGGAGCTAAACTGCTGTAGGCTGAAAAGGTGGGTGTATGAAAATGTGTTGGTTTTCGTAGCTCAGTTTCTTTTAAATAGACTTTAAAGTGAACGCTGGGTTTCCCAAGTATCTTCACACAAAGATCATTCTTAAAGGGGATTTTTCAAAATGTCTGCTTAATTCAGTCATGAGATGTAAACAAAGTCATATAAATACACAAATATAGGCATTTTATGTATTGCCCAAAATTACCAGTGAACCTACAAGTGTCTTCTGAGCTTTTATAAGTAATGTTGATGAAAAATGGAAAATCTGAAAAAGTAGGAATTCCTTGAGGACTATTTTGCCTCACAACACCCTGCATGTACCGCTCCACCAAGAATGGATAAAATATGCATTTCCATCAAAAACTATTGTAAATCACCATTTCAGGCATCAGGCAGTGAATTCATAACCATCTCATGTAATAACCCTCCGTGAGGGAGCTTTTAGAGGTGGACGTCTGGTTCCTATCACCACCACGGTGAACAATTCTGACTCAATACGTTTCTCTAAAACAGAGCGTTTCGCACCAAACCACTCTGAATGACTCTGTTTACATCTTAACCAGTTAATTATGCAGAGATTTTGAAAAATCGCTGGAAGGGTAGAGTGAGCATCGCACTGAACATCCTTTCTACCAGGTAAGATGATCAACACTAGATGCTTTTGGGAAACTGGGCGCAATAGGTTATGAAACTTTTAGAAACTTGCTACATCAAACTCTTAATTCAAGAAAGTTTTCCATGATATGGGCCCTTTAAAGATTCAACTACATGCTCAGAAATAAAGTCACTAAACTGTCACTGGAGCAGTGCCCCTCTTGTCACTGGGGTGGAACCCTCAAGGGTCCATCTCAGTACCTTTAGTCAGGGAACATAACTGTTCCATAATCCACTGAAATGATATGTTCTAAGCTGTACTGACTCCACACACCCCGTCTCGTCTCCAGGCTTTTATTTTACTGTTCTGTTTTGAAAACATTCAGTTATGAAAAGGTACAAATACAAACTTTTCACCTGGAAAAACTTATTTAAGGTTCACAATCAGACCTTAAAACCACTGTTGTACCTTTGAGGGAACATTTACACTGTTTGTACATTGCTAAACAAAAAATGTACCTGCAAAGAACCTTTATTTCTAATAAATACTGCACATTATTGTGACATGGCATAAGGTATATGTATATATACAGGCAAAGGTGCTACAATCATACAAGCAATAACTACAAGTCTGTCAATTAAAGCCACCACAGTGACTTACTTACTGTGTTTACTGTCCCACCTGAACAGCTGGTCATCTGGTGGCTACTCCACACTGCTGTGGTCTATTAAAGCTCTAATGTTGAATATGTTTAATATTGCAGTCAGCTGGAGTCTTACCTGGGAGTACAGGTGGAGGTGGAACTACACTGGAGTTTACCTTCTGTGGAAGTGAGGCAGGGCTGCCTTCTGGACCTTTTATTGCTTGGACGATGTAAATATATGATTGGTCCGTCATGCCGTGACGTCACACTGTGGAATCTGCTTGTTTTCCAGCAGTTCTGGTGCTCATGTGGTCCACTTGCAGTTTATTTTCTGCTCTAACTTGGTTCATTCAGCTCCAGAAAGACCTGATCATTAGCTAATGATTGCTTTCAGGTGCTGGGAAACACATGCATGTGTTTACAGCTTTTATTCAGAGAGACTTCCCTGTTTAGTGCAGTAATATTTAGTACATTCACTAAAGCCAGACTGGAGCTTCAGCAGTCTGGAAGTGAATGAATTTAAGGCATGGTTAATGCGCCAAACAGAAACCGTTGCGACTAGCTGGCCAAATTGGTGTTGACTGTCTCATGATAACAAAAGGGCTTTTATATAATCTAATATTACCCCAACAACCCAGCCTTTAATGTAAACTACCATGATTATTTTTAAGAGTGAAGCTTTTCACCATAGACGCAAAAGTGGGCAAGTGACTGAACAGTGCTGTTCCCCCCTTTTTAACATGTAAAAGTTCAGGGAATGTGTCATTTTCTCTCTCCCAGGAAAAACTCTGGTATACAGTTCCAGATGCGGCCACACGATGGTGCAGCTGAGTCTCAGAAACTCCACTGAGCTCCTGAACTGTTGCTTTGGCAATTTACAGGCATAAAAGCGTGACGTTCCTGCTGTCTGTGTAGTGTTCTGATAATGTGTCTCACAAGCTCAAATATGGCCATTCAAAGTTCATCTTTAACACTGTGGATGCAAAAAATATTATGCAAGTGAAAAGAGTTTGATTTCATTTACATGTATATATTTATAGGCACTTTACAGGCTTTTTAGAATTGTGTACTTTCACATTAAGAGACATGATTAAGATGGAAAAGTGACATTTTTGCAGTATTCTGTAATTTACTGTTGAAAAACTGACATTCAAAGTAACCTTGAGTGTGAATAATCTGATAACTGCAGAAAATCAGATTTTGTCAGTAATCCGATCAACATGTTTACATGCACTTGAGTAAACAGATGATAAAAAAAACTCTACATGAGTCAGACAGTAATCAGATTTCTGCTTTGCAACCAGCCAATAACCTCACAGAAGAAGACGTGACGTAAATGTAATGTAAAACTCAAACTTCATGCTGTGACTTTTTTTTAAACATCGCACCACTTTACGTGAAAATATGAACAAACATCATCCAGAAGATTTAAATCTTTAAATCCTTCATTTCGTCAAGCCTGTATTTGGTTCCGGCGTCGCTGCGTATCACTGATTTCCGGTCTGTAAAAATCCAGCCTCTTTATCAGATTTCTTAATCAGATTTCTAGGCCTTACTCTGATCTAAGAAATTGGAGTGTTCTGTTTACATGACCGTTTGAATAATCAGATAACTGCAGAAATCCGATTATGATTGGATTACTGAGCGCATTTAAACACACTCCTTGATAGCGCTGAACCCAGCAATCAGAGGAGTTTAAAATATTCCAGCCTGTTACATTCCCCCTCATTCACAACCTCTGTGTACATGGGGATGGACTTCTCAGTGTTGTTTGACACTAAATAAATAGATAAATAAATAAATAAAAATAGTAACTGAGGTAGGAAGTTGTTTGTTGGTAAGAGTGATGGTCATTTACTAGACTGTGAAAGGCAGAAGCTAAACCAAGCTAAAACCAAGCTTCCAATAGACTGATAAGTGAATAACCTTACAAAAAAAGAAGTTTATTCAAGTGTGCCATTAGTATACGTCTCTTAAACTGAAAGACTGTGTTAAACTTAAGGCTGTGTTTGATTCCCTGGATGGAAACCAGGGTCCTCTCTGTGTGGAGTTTGCCTGTTCTCCCCGTGTCTGTGTGGGGTTCCTCCCACAGTCCAAAGACATGCAGTCAGGCCAGTTGGAGATGCTAAATTGCCCCTAGGTGTGAATGTATATGTCTGTCTGCCCTGCGATGGACAAGTGGCCTGTCCAGGGTGTTTCCTGCCTTCTGCCCAATGAGCACTCGGATAGGCTCCAGCACCCCCTGCGACCCAGGAGGATAAGCGGGTTGGATGATGAATGAATGTTCTTATTTTTTGGCATCCAAAAAATGATCTATATAGAAAACAAATATGTTCTTAAATATGCATGTCTTATGAATTTTGATACATGTAGTCCACTAGTAGTGTTCATATTATATTCATAACTTCATGTCTACTTAAAGTAGAATTAAAGATAAAAAATACCTAACTAAAAACCTAGTAATATATTTTAAAGTGCAAAGATAACATAAAAGTAGTAAACAATAACTATTAAGCTCATTTAAAGAAAACGTAAACGAGTATTTGCAACATAAAAACTATTAAACTCATAGTTTGCTGAATATATACTTAGGTTTCAAGGTTGAAATGTAAAGACAAAAACTGGACAAACTAAACTAACTAAGGACATCCAAGGATAAAACTGTGCTAAAATACTACAAGATAGGTCGATAGGTCGATAGATAGATAGATAGATAGATAGATAGATGCATCTTTACTGAACTTTAGAAATAAAAAAATAGATATAAGTTAAACTATGAGAGAGTAGGAATAAACATATATCTATTGCATATAAGACATATTTGTTGTATTTACATGATAGCAGGCGTGGCACTAAGTGGTACGAGGTAGTTTACAACACAATGAGAGTAAACATAACTAGGAATTACAGCAGTATTTACAGTGTTTACAACATTGATCTGGATTTAATACATAGCAATTATAAATATTCATAATTGATTTTAAGAAGTCAGCTGTAGCCGATACTCCGTGGCTCAGTTTGTTAGTTCTTGCAGTAATGCATGTCAGTTGATTTCAAATCCTGAGGCTGTTGACAGACGTTTCTCCTCTTTTTTATGCGAGTAAGTCTTTCAAAGGATGGTTGAATGCAAACATCATCTATGAGTTTTACAGCAGCTTTTTTTGTCTTGACTGCAGTTTAGGAAGGACTGGAGCAGAATCAGATTTGGCTATAATAGATAGATCTTTTCTGGACAAGCTCTTGTTTCTTTGTACAGCCTGCAGATAACATACCAGCATATTTGTGTGTTTTTTTAACCTGATATATTTATAACTCTATCTGTAAAAGGGTACTACTTTTTTGAAGAAAATTCCTGCATTAAAGTACATTGGATACAATGTTTAAGGGTTCGCTCAAACTCTGAACAGAACATGTAGGTGTTATTGCAAACAGCATTACTGCTGTGAAGTCTTTAGCACTGGCTTATAGAAGCTCTACACTCTACACTTCTTTCGAATCTGGAATACTGAGTGAAGAAGATGAGTTGGGCTGTTATCATTGTTCAGCTTTGAAGAATACGTCCTTAAGTTGGATTTGTTTATCTCCTATTCATTTTACTATCCCAGCTTATGCCCCACAGCAGTTACTATATACTATATTCCATGATACAATCTGAAATGCCAGGACACTCTTGATTCTTCTGCAGACCATGGTATGCGTGTGCTTTCTAGTATTAAGGCTGTGAGTCACATTATCCTGAAAGTTAAGCTAATTATCAGTTTCTATTCCTAAACATTTGACGTAAATGACTTGATCTACTTCCTGACCCTTTATGCTGATTGCCTCTATGCAGGACCTGAGCTGCCCCTTTCGTTTAATCATCAGTGTAATTCACTGTAACACACTGCCTCTTGTTTTTTGATTGCTTAAACCGATGTAGTACCAGAATATGACCACAAGATGTCACTCATGTTGCACAGCATACAGTGACCATCTCTACATTACACATATGTATTGGTGCTATCAGGACAAAACCTCCACTGGTCTCCATTTTGTCCTTTTTCCCTTTTGACATAATTTGAAAACACCAGCTGTTACATTTCATGATGAATGGGCAAAAGAAATGCTCTAAAATTACTTGGAGTTGACAATTTGCTTTTAACTTTCATTAAATGTTGCGAAAGCTTTTTTTCCTTCTCCTGTAAAGTTACCTTTTTGGACACGATACATTAATACACTCTTAAAATGAAGTTTTAAAGCTGGATATTTTCTGTAAGATTTGAAAGGTTTGGCATGAGACGGTGAAATATTGCCCCAATCTGTAAGGCAATGCGTAGAAGAGAGGAATACACACACACACACACACACACACACACATTTATAGCTGTAGATTTCTACACACTCACTCCACTCACAGACTGGCTCAGCCTTCAGACTGACCCTCTGTTGGACTCTGACCAGCATGCCCATGGCGATGGCTAAAGGCTGCACACTGGCTCTGTTGTACTAGCAGTGGAAAACCCCTGTGGCTCACAGTGAGGCAGTGTTAGGACAATTTTGCCAGTTCAAATCCTTTAAAATAAAAAAAAAGTCGAAAAAAGATCAATAGACATATGTTCATGTCTTTATGATAAGGGTCAGTTTGGCCCTCTGGCTCCAGTTTCGGTGAGGGTTCATCTACAGAGATGGTAAACATGAAGCGCAGACAAACACACACTGTAGATTCATACTGGATTAAAATCACTTCACAGTTATTACTGTCAGACTGTAAAAACTACACACCCTGTAGATTCATACTGCCTCTACAGGAGTCTGAGAAGGTCTGACCAGAGCCTGTCTGCTGGCCTGTGGATCACTGCAGTCTTTATGAGCCTCCACACTCAGCTCTTTTGTGTTGATTTATGACGCTCCATCTGTTCATGAACATTCAAACTGAGAAAGGCATTTTTTTCTGTCTTTTCTTTTCTTCCTGCTTTCATTCGAAAGACTCTGCTGAGCTTTGAAAAAAGATACCAAGTTATAGTTCAGCAAAAATCAGATTTACCCAGTTTCCCCTTACATCAAGTGTAGTCGATCAGCCGAGATGTGTCTGGTGTCTTTAGTTTTACACTGAAGCTACGAGGCTAATGTAGCTAACAAGCAGTGTTTAAACCCCACCAGTTAGCATGGTGCTAACTGCATGCCTCAATCATCCCACACTCGTCTCAAGCCACTGTAGAAATCTATAACAACAGACAAAAATGAACATCATAGCTAACGTTTTTATCTACATTAGCTTCATAGCTCCAGTGCTAA